AGAAAGACAGAGAGAGACAGAGAGACAGAAAGCGAGAAATCACCCCCCAGGGGGGATGGCCACGCCGCAATCCCTTATCCTCTCGGGATCTTGGGTATGCACGTACACGTGCCCGGCATGAGTTTAAGCCACCGGGTCCAGGACTTGAACCGCAGTCGACTACATGAGAGTCCAACAATATAGCCATTACACTAACTGCCGGCCCCAAGGATTATTTTTTATTTTTTGGAGAGGTTTTTGCTATATGGCACGTGCGCTCGCCAGACAGACAGAGAGACATAGAGACAGAAAGCGAGAAATCACCCCCCCAGGGGGATAGCCATGCCACAATCATCTCTTCTCCTCCATTCTCCTCTCAGGATCTTGGGCACGCACGCACACGCGCCCGGTGTGAGTTTAAGCCTCCGGGTCCGGGACTTGAACTGCAGTTGACTACGTGGGAGTCCAGTGACATAGCCATTTCGCTAACTGCTGGTCCCTCAAGGATTATTCTTAATTTGACCAGAGAGAGAGAGAGACAGAGAGAGGGAAAGTGAGAAAGGTAAGCCACCAGGTCTAGGACTCAAACTGTGGTTGGTCATGTGGAAGTCCAACACTTTAACCACCACACCACCTGCCAGCTCCAGGAAGTCCTTTTTTAAAAATCCTTTTTACAGGCCAGCTGGTGACATGGAGATAAAGGCAGCTGGATCCCATATGGCCAACTCCGTAGTTTGAGTTCTGAACCTGGTACCTTGAAAATCACACAAAGTGTGTGTGTGCACAAACCTAAATCCAAGTGAAAATAGAGAAGGGACTGATGCATGGCCATCATGCTTGTGGGTTGGTTTCTCATTTTCTCTCTACATTTCTCTCTGTCTCTCTGGCAAGTGCACATGCTCTAAAGCAAAAATTGAAAAAAAAATTTCTTTTTGGGACCAGCAGTTAGCATACTGGCTATATTGCTGGACTCCCACGTAGTTGACCGTGGTTCAAGTCCCAGACCCGGTGGCTTAAACTCACGCTGGGCGCATGTGTGTGCGTGCCCAAGATCCCAAGAGAAGAATGGAGGAGAAGGGATTGCGGCGTGGCCATCCCCCCTGGGGGGTGATTTCTCGCTTTCTGACTGTCTCTCTCCGTCTGTCTGGCGTGCGCACGCGCCCTATAGCAAAACACCTCTCCAAAAAAATAATTAAATAAATAAATAAATTCTTTTTGCTACTCTTATACCCTAATCCCCACTTACTGCTGGCCCTTCATTGATGTTCACAGATCTTTTTTCTCTTTTTGGCCTTGCTGAGTAGTCCTCAGCCCTC